GAGCGGGCCCTCCCAGGACATGGCTGGACATGCTGATTTTGGGTGAACGGACAGGCCAGCTGTGAAAGGGTAAATGTGCCCTAAAAAAAGTCCTCGCAGGGTCAGGGGACTTTGTCTCCAGAAAAATCTGGTCCTCGTCTCGGGGCTGGAGGTTCCCTGTGTCCCCAGGCAAAGGCACCAGCTGAACCCACAGAGCCCCGTGGGACACCCACAGTGTCACATTGCAGGCAGGAGGCTGGGCCGTGTGACTCACCCTGGCTTTGCCAGTGTGGCGGGGGGGTGCAAGGGGGGCTCCTCGCTGGCTCGAGACCACCCTGTCCCCAAAGGAGGTTGGTCCCCGCACGGCCCTGCGAGAGATGTGGCATCCTGACCCTGTCCCGGGCTGAAGCTGTGAGGGACCGAAGAGAGGTTTTGTGGGGCTGGTCCTCTCCAGCCTTCCTGCAGCCCCCTGACGCTGCACCTGTATCGGCCTCTCACAAACTTCACATTCTGCCCACACTGCAAACTCCTGTTTGTGTCCTGGGGTTTGAAGAAGCAAGTGGGGGCACCCAGGTGGCTCAGTCGGTTGGGTGTCCGACTTCGGCCCGGGTCATGATCTCACGGTTCGTGGGTTTGAGCCCCGCATCGGGGGGGGGGGGGGGGCGACTCTGTGTCTCCCTCTCTCTCTGCCCCTCCCCTGTTCGGGCTGCGCCTGTGTCTGTCTCTGTCTCTTTCTCTCTCTCTCTCCTCTCTTTCTCTCAGAAGTAAATATTAAAAAGAAAGCAGTAAACAGCAAGAGTGAAAACCGAGTCTCCTAGTGCTGAAACACAGGCTGGCTGCCCAGTGCTCTCCACCTCTGCTGGCGTCCTGGCTCTGGGGAGTCTGGTGCGCAGGGCCTGTGCTAGCAAGGGGGTGGCGCCACGGCCCTGGAAGCCGGGACTGGGTCGCAGGTCCCGCCGACAGCCCAGGCCGTGACTCTGAAGAACGCCCGTATGGGAGAGCCTCTGCGGAGCACTGGCCTGTCCCCCAAGGGCCACTGTCCCTGCCCACCTCCCACCTGTGACCATCTGTGGATAAGACTTGACCCCTCCAGTTCCTCATTTCTGGCAACCAAGGAGGTCACCTCCACTGGGATCCTGGAGTCTGTTCCTTAACGTGTGTCCCTGGGTGTGTGTTTCTGGGAGGGAGGAGGGTCCGGCGGTTTTCATCACGTCCGTCCTCCAAGGCCGGGTGGGTTTAGGTGGCGAGAGCCGGGTAGGGAAGGAGCCTGGCTGTCCCCGGGGTCGTGGGGGACCTGCAGGCCTGGGCAGGTGGGCTCAGGTTGCAGTTATGTTTTTCACCCCGACTTACAGACCCAGGGAGTTTGAACCTGGATTAAGGAAACACTATTTGCACGGTCTCTCCTGACTTTTGGCATTTCCGCTGTGAATGTTGGCAGGCCACGGTGGCATTGGCGGGATGTGTGGAGGGCACGGGCACTTTCCTGGCACGTGACGGGTGGAGACCGCTCCCGGCGTCACCTGTACTCGGCTCCCCTGCCCGGTTGCACGACAGACCCGCGCGGATGGGTTCGTGTGGTGTCGACAGTCTTTGGATGAAGGGTTCCGTTTGTGCCTCGCATGTCCTGTGTGTTCCGTTTCCTGCATTTAAATTTTTTTTTTTCAACGTTTATTTATTTTTGGGACAGGGAGAGACAGAGCATGAACGGGGGAGGGGCAGAGAGAGAGGGAGACACAGAATCGGAAACAGGCTCCAGGCCCTGAGCCATCAGCCCAGAGCCCGACGCGGGGCTCGAACTCACGGACCGCGAGATCACGAGATCCCGCGAGATCGCGAGATCGCGACCTGGCTGAAGTCGGACGCTGAACCGACTGCGCCACCCAGGCGCCCCCCGTTTCCTGCATTTAAAAGCCTTCTGAGAGGGGTGTCCAGGCCCCGCTACGTTGTGCAGGACCCTGCACCCAGGAGCTGTGCCCCGCCAGGAGCCCTGCCGCCCCGAACAGCCGCTCTGACAGCCGCTCTCCCTGTCCTCCAGGAGCTCACTTACATCCGGCCGTGAGCTCCTCGAGGCCAGAGCCCGCGTCTGCCTCCACTCAGCGCCAGCCCGCGACTCCCGGAGGGCGTCGTGCCCACCACCACACGCACCTGGAGACTCGGCTGTGTTCCAGGAGCAGCTTCCAGAATTGTCCGCACACACCTTTTCGGAAATTGTTGTCATTTTAACCAGGACGCTGCAAGCAAAACGAAAGGGGAAATTGTTTCACTCTCGCGGGCGCGAGGGGGTAGCCGTCGCTCACGTGTCACTTTAGCCGGGGGCTTTGGGGTGGTGAGAGGGATTGGGGAAATTAGGCTTTGAAGGATCTGACAGTTCGTACCTGCACGTTCCGTATCCTTCACTGTCACTTGAATCTGCTGCTGTCGCTGTGGGTTTCCGATCGTTGAAAGGGTTCTAGGTCTGTCTGCAGACGGTGCCACGGAACGTGGACAGAGGCCACGTGGGGGTCTGCGATGCCTCTGATGACTGTACCCGCGTCTTGTTTCAGAATAAAACATTTCTCTAAAACGTTGCAGGAAACGCTCTTTTTTGTTCTCCGTTGTTAGGTAAGGGAAATTGTGCTACCGTGTGATACCTGGTAGTAAGTCTGATTAAGGTGTACTTTTGAGCTAGAGCGAAATTTCTGAAGGCGCCACAGCCAGAGGCATGGGCTTCCTGCCCACCTGTTTCCTAGGTTCAGAGCCAGAAGGAAGTGGGGCCTTCCTGGTGGGGAGGCCTGTGAGCCTGCTGCTGTTTTCTGGACCCGACTCTGGAGTCCCTTCTGTCCCCCAAGCTCCGGGCCACGAAGCAGTTGACGTCAGGGGGCCTGGACTCCAGGGGGGCGGATCCCACCGTGACCCTGGGGAGCACCCAGCTGCGGGGAGCACTGGTTAGACTGTTGTGGACAGTTTATGGACAGACTACTGTGGCTAAAGATCCTCGGCGCCGGGGGCCACACAGATGTGGCTCGGGCAGGGCTCTGTCCACATCCGTAAACCGAGGACCGAGCAGAGACTGTCCCTCCCCTGCCGGCCAGCCCTTCAGGGGCAGCGCCGTGTGGCGCTTAGGGTGCGTCCGTAGACGCCACGCACAAACTCCAGTCGGGGTTTTGTCGTCTGAGGTGCCCTGACCTCACGGCCCTGGGCCCTTTGCCACAGCAGCACCCTGCCACCACCCGATAGCACTTTCTACGTGAACGGATAACCGGACCACAGACTGTCGCCTGACGCTTACTCTCGATGCTTCTTAAAACCGTTTGCCGTGGAGCTGCTGCCACGATGAGCCGCCTTCCGGGGGGCATAAAGGTCTGGTTCTGTGGGGGGAGGGGCCTGCCCTCTCCCCACCCCCAGCCCCTGCTCACGTGCTGCGACTCCCGGCTCTGGTCCCGGCTCTGCCTCCTTCGCCTTCGGGACGAGCGTCCAGACCCTGCAAGCGGCTTGGCTTTCCCTGAGCGCTCCTGGGGTGTCGTGACCTCTGCCCCCACCCCCTGGAAGAGCAGGGCCCAGGTGGGCCGGTCTGCACCCCGCTTCTCCTCAGAGGCCACCAGCGGGCCCCCTGGGACCCGGCATGAAACGGGCAGGAAGGGCGTCTTGCTCCCGCCCATCCTGCTTGGAGCACAGGCCGCACAGAAGTGGTCTCGAGAAACACTGGGTTTATTGCAGTTTTGGCCTCTTTCCTAGGCCGGCCCCGAGGCCACGTCTTCAGTCAAGGTGGAGACCCCAGGAGGGCACCGGGCCTGCCCTCCTGCCTCCCATCATGGTGTCACCACTGCTCCCCTGGACCTCAGGAAACCCTCAGAAATCCCTATGGCCTCGGGCAACTAGGCTTGCAGGCAGGGGGCATGTGCCGCCCCAGGGCTGTGTCTGTCCAGAGACCCCCTCTGGAAGCACCCCCTGTGCTGGCGGCCTGTGAGCCCCGTGTGAGAGGAGCCGTGCGTGTGTGTGCACATGCGTGTACGTGGTGTCAGGGCTGCTGGAGCCTCCCTGGGGCAGCCTGGAGGCCCCACTGCTGGTTTTAAAGGAGGCAGAGGGGGGAGCTGGAGAGAGAGCGTCTCTTTTGTTTTAGAAGATTCCGGAAAGATCTGGCGTTGAGTGGGAACACAAAGGTTGTCAAGGCACTGGCACTTTGTAAGCTGGCCTCTGGGGAGGCAAGAGGGGAGGGGAGGGGAGGGGAGGGGAGGGGAGGGGGAGGTCTGCAAACGCTGGATGTGCCTGGGGTAGCCTTTGCCCTTCCGGAGGCCTTGGGGCAGTGGCCTGGTCCCAGGCCAGAGGCGGAGTGACCAGTGCTCGTGTGCCAGGTTTTCCAGGAAAGGGGACGTGTGTGCAGGTCCTGGGGTCATGATCCCCCGCCCCATTGAAAGCCTGGTTTGGTTTGATATGGGGAGCGGGTTGGGGCTGTACTGCTGGGCGCAAGGTATCTGGGAAAACGGGTGTCAGGAGGCCGCGGCCCTATCGGGAGAGCGAGAGGCCGGCAGCCTGCATCCACCAACTGCTCAGCTGCTGGGGGAGGCACCCAGGCCTTCCTCGGGAGGGGTTCCTAAGTGGAAAGGCCTCTGTGGGTACCCCACCCCCCAACCTTGAGCAGTATGCTCTCAGCCCTGCCTCAGTGCCCCCGGTCTGCGGGCAGCAGACAGTGGGGGCAGCAACAGGGCTGGGGGGCTGGGGAGAGGGAAAGGAGGAGGGGCAGGTCTCCTGCAGGGCTGTGGGGGGACGGGGCTCTCCTCTCCGCCCAGAAATCCTTGTCCCCAGTGCGTGAGTGCAGGTGCAGGGTCAGGAGAGAGGTCCGAGGTCAGTGAGCTTTGACACGTGCTGGGGTGAGATAGTCACACCCGGCCCTTCCCCGCAGGACTTGCCACCAGGCGCTGGGTCTCCTGGGTCCCTGGGAGGGCAAGACTTTGAGCAGCCCCTTCCCCAGGTACTGGGGGTGAGGGAGGGGGTCCAGGGAGCTGAGGGGCACCCTTCCAGGCTGGTTTTCCCTTGCCTTTCAGGGAGGAGCCGCCTGGGGCGCCGGACAGGACACGGCCCTCGAGCTGCCCGAGCTGACCCCGGAGGAGAAGAGGGTCCTGGAGAGGAAGCTGAAAAAGGAGCGGAGGAAAGAGGAGAGGAAGCAGCTTCGGAAGAATGCAGCCCCGAGCGTGCCGGCCAAGCCCTCCGGGGCCCAGCTGGCCCTGGACTACCTCCGTGGGTGAGGCGACCCTCTCACGCAGGGCCTGGCCGGGTCCGGAGGGTCTCTGGTGTACCAGGAGGGACGGGGGCTTGGGTGAGCTGCTCCAAATCTGGCTCCTGGGGCCAGTGGTGTCCCCGCAGCCTGGGACCCGCCCTGGTGGGCGTCACCACAGAACCACCACCCCCAGTGCCCACTCGAGCCCTCGGGGTGCCTGGCAGACCCTGGTTTACCCCGTTCCCACGGCAGGCAGAGCCTGGCATTTGCCAACAGCTCTGTGCCAGCCTGTCCAGGAGCTCCCGGAAAAGCCAGGCCCCAGTGAAATCGCTGGCTTCTGTTGGCAGAGGAACCCGCGGGGAAGTAAAGTCACGGGTTCCAGCAGCCTCCCCCCGCCCCCGCCGCCCACAATGGTTTTCCTCCTCCGGAAGTGGGGTCCGTCCAGTGGCACCAGCGGCCAGCACCAAGACGGGCTTCCCTGGGGAGACCCGGCTCCGACGCACTCATCTGTGCGTTGATCGTGGGGAGCGGTGTATGCGCAGCCGCCCCGGCCGCCCGCCGCCGAACTCCTTTGACTCCAACAGCAGCCCCTGCTCCCGGCACTCACTCCCCATTCCCCTCAGACCGCCCCACCCGCCTCCACCCAAGCCCTCGTCCACCCCGTGTCTCTGTGGGCGCGTCGATTCCGGACGATTGTGCACGTGGGAGTCACGCACAGCGTGGCCTTTTGCGAAGCGCTTCCTTCGCTCGGCGAAACGTTTGAGGCCCACCCACGTTGCAGCACGTGTCAGGCGTCCCTTTCTCTTTACGGCCAGATACCACGCACCGCACGCATACGCCACGTCTCGTTTATCCGCTCACCCGCTCGTGGGCGTTCGGCTTGTTTCGGGCGCGGGGCCGTTGTGGCTGATGCTGTGGTGCGTGTCCCCGCACGGGATCTTGTGGGGACATGTCTTCCTCGGTCTCGGGCACAGCCTCGGAGCGGGATCGCCAGGGACCCCGTTTTTGCAGGAGCTGCAGACCTGCCCACGGCGGCTGCGCCACGTTAACAGCCCCACCGGCAAGGGCCCCGGGCGACCTCTGCCCGTCGGCGCCCACCCTCGCTGATGACAGCCACGCGGGTGGGTGTGAGGCCGTGTCTCGCTGTGTTCCTCGTTTGCATCCTGTACGTGTTAAACAAAGATGCCGATAACCCAGGGGGCTGCCGAGCGGCGCCCTCTTGGCTCCTCCCCGGAGGGGTCCCTGGAAGGGCTCAGCCAGGAAGGCAAGTGCCCCCCCCCCCCCCCCCCCCCCCCCCGTCCCAGCTCCGTGACTCCACCTGCTGGCCCCGGGCGTGGCTGCGTTGGGGGCAGGAATCCAGCACACCAGCTGGCTGGCCTCCTCAGGGCAGAGAACTGAGGGTCCCGCAGCCTGGCCCGGGTGAGGAGGACCCTGTCCGCTGGTCCCCGTCCCCAGCCTTAGGGATGTGTAATTCTGTGCGACGTGGGACCCTGGGGCCTCTGCACTCTTGGCTGCTGGGCACAGTGGACGGGGCTGGAACCAGCACCCCTTAAGGAGTCCAGCCCCCAGCGTTGGTGTCACCTGGGCACACGCTCCCACACGTCCCAGTGAAGAGAGAGCTGGGTCTGGGGTCTGGGGTGCGGCTGGGGAATCTGCATGTGCTGGGACCAGGTCTCTGGCTCAGCCCTCCCGGCCTCCCTCCCTAAACTCAGCAGGGGTGCAGGGGCATCGCCAGCCCCCGTAGCCCTGGCAGAGGCTGGATTGGCCCTGCTGCATGTCATGGGTCTAGAGGGGTGAGCCCTGCAGGGACCATACACAGCAGCAGCTCGAGAATGCCGAGGGCTGCCTGGTGCAGGGGCTCAGCACCGTCCGTGCAGCCGTGTTCTCTGAGGTCAGAGCTGAAGGCCGTCCCCGGTTCGTGGCCAGAGAGGGCAGGAGCGCGTGGGTGGGGGCCCCCTGGTACTTGAGGACAGATGCCTGCTGCTCCCTCCGCTGGCGTGTGGGTGTGGGGTCCCCGGCTCAGCTGGGCTGTCAGCACGGCGTGGGGCACCAGCCTTGGGGATGGCAGGGCCTGGGCTGGAGCCAGCCTGCTGCTTGTCAACGTGGGTCCTCGAGCGAGAGGGTCGTCCTCTGTGGTCTCGGCTGTCAGCCTGAGAGCCCACGTGTGTTTCTGTGAGCGTGCACGGGTCACGGCTGGACACAGGAGGCCGCGGGGCCGGGGCTGGACAGAGGAGCCGGGGGACAGGCCAGCCACAGAGTGGACCTCAGGCTGTGCCACAGGCGCAGAGCCCGCCTGGGGTGGGCGGGGGTGAGGACAGGCTAGAGGCCTGCGGCCGCTCTTCGCATACACCCCGTGTGGGCGACAAGAGGCCGGGCTGCGGACCCGGTCTTCGCTCCCGAGGCCACGCCTCCCGCCGCGACGTGGACTGCCCAGCTCCCTGGCGTTCACCCACCGGGGGCCTGTCCTGTCCAGATGCCCCATTACCTAGAGGCCGGCCCGGGGACGCCATCCATGTTGTGGTAGGCCGCCTGTCCTCTGCTGTCTGGGCCTCGCCTCCAGCCCGCGCGGGCTCCTGTGGCCGCCCGGCGTCCCCGTGCCTGGCAGCTGTAGGTCTTGTGTGGCGGGAGCTGCACCCCATGCGTGTGCTTGGAATGGTAGCGGTGGTCTCTGGGCCCGCGGGAGCCCCGAGGGAGCCCCGAGGGCAGCCTGGCCCCTGTGGGATGTCAGACCCAGGGCCGAGGCAGCCAGCATGCTCTCCCCGGAGACCCCACACCAACCCCTCGCCGGGCTGGGGGCAGGGAGACGGACTCCGGCTGTTGTTTCTTCCCTCTTCCACCGGGGCCCCTCCCGCCGACTGAGCCGGACACGGCAGCTCCTCCCTCACGGGGTGTCCTGTCCCGCTGGGCGCCCGGCCCCAGCCCCATCCCCAGCGCAGGCCGGGACTCGATCAGGTGCTGCGTAAGCGGGGGTCAGCGGGGCGCACGGCCTCAGCGACTCAGGGCCTGCCTTCCCGGGACGAGAGGCTGCTGGGCCCCATCCCTCTTTTACGCCCGGGGCCTGGGCCGGCCAGCCGATTCCAGCTTCCCGTGAGCTGAGAGATTTCTGCCGTGCAGACCGGGCCGTACGAAATCCGCGAGTTGTCTGATTGCCGCGAGAGCACGGGCTGCTCTAGGCCGCGATGGCACTGCCGGCTGGAACGTGGGGGTTGGTACGTGTGAGGCCTGGGGCCGGGTTCTTAGGGTTTCCCTGAAGACCGCGGCCTTGGGGACGGGTTGGTGGAGATAGAGACACATTCACCGGCTCAGGGGCTCCAGAACCTGCCCGATGTTGGGGCTCAGGCGGGGCCCGTGGGACACACGTGTCTCTGGGTGGCCGTGGGCCAGGGGCCTGTACAGCAGCTGCACGTGCTTCTGCCCGTCTGGGTGTTGAAGCGTCCTTCACCCATGACCTCACGGAGCCATGTTCTCTGGGAGCCACTGACGACTCCGTACCCCCTCGGGAGGGTGGGGCTCAGCCCTTACCACCAGGGAGCCCACCTAACGCGGGGTCCCCGCTCCCTCCCTGTGGACCCTGGTCTCTCAGATTCTCTATCCCCACGGGTCCTGCCTCTCAGGGAGGCGTCTCTGAGACGGAGCAGGAGCCTGGAGAGGCGGGCTGGCTTGTTCATGTCCGTCATCCCCAACTTCACTCCTGTGTCCTCGTCGTCCTGGTCTGGGGGCCTCCTCTCTGCCTGTCGTGGCCTAGGGGCTTGGGGCTCCCAGCCAGTGCCCCTTGCTTCCTTTGGGCCCACACGGCAGATCTGAAGCCACCGTAACACTGTCTGGGGGTTCAGGTGACCACAAGGGGGGGGGTTGAGCCTAAGCTAGACCAGAGCCCTGGCTCGGGTCAGGCACACAGCCCGTCCGTGTTGTCGATGCTGTGGCCACGGCAGCCAGGTCCGTGGAGCCCCAGGTCCCAGGCAGTGGAGCTCGGCACCTCCACACCCTCCATCAGCCCAGGACGGACCCCGCAGACCCTTGGGGAGGTCGTGTGCCATCTTCCAGGGCAGGGGAATTGGCCAGCGTGCAGGTGGTCAGTGGAACCAAATGGTGATTTGAACAGAGAAAGTTTATTGTAAAGAAGGAGTAAGCACAGCAAAGGGCTTGCTAGTAAGTCGAAACCCAAGACCCGGGAGGAGCAGACCCCAAGACAGCCGCTCCTCAGGGCCGGACGAGCCCAGGGCCCACACCTTTGGGGGAGGAGTCACAGGAGCTGTGGCCACAGGACTTGCTGGGAAGGCTGCTCACGGGAGGCCTGGCCAGGGCTTCGTGGACCGTCGGCTCCAGGGGGTTGCTTGCTGGAACCAGAGTGCATCAGCCTCCGTGTCCTGTTTTTACGGGTCTGCAGCTCCTTCTACTTAGCGTCGCGCCATCTGGCAAACCCGTTTTTTGAAGACCCCCCCTCCTCCCCCCAGCAGAGTGGGCGATGGACGGTGTGAGCCAGCGCAGTCACTTGATAACCAGCACGGGGCAGGGGCCCCTCGGGCTAACCCGCAGGGATCAGCCAGGGACAGCGCCCGGCCTGGCGGCTCTTGGGCTCTTCCTCGGGGCCTCCTCTAATGACCACGGCCCGATTTCTGCCGCGCACTCGTTCCGGGCACAGGCCGAGGGCCACACCTGCGGGTGCGGGAGTCCGGGTCGTGGTGCCCTGAAGGCACACCACTTTGTAGGGGCGCCGGTCAGTCTCCAGGGCCAGATCCCAGATGTGAATCCACGGGTCCCCAGCGGGATGGGATGGGAGCAGGGACCCGGTCTGGCTCAGGTCCTGTTCTGTGGCTGCCACACAAAGTGCCCGTGGTCCCCGGCAGACGTGGGGCTGGGCTCAGGCGGCTCTGCTGTCACGTGACCGTGTGTGTGAAGTCGAGTAAGAGTGACTCCACCTCAGCCCCGCGAGCTACTGTCCCTCCAGTCGAGGCTGCAGCTAGGGCACATCACACACCCTGGGGGCTCACCCCCCGCCCTCCTGCCCACACCCCTCGGTGCCCCCGAGTCCCAGACACGCCGCCCTTCCCTTCCTCCTGCTTGTCAGCAGGCTGGCCTCGTGGCCGCGGGTTGGGTGGGGGCTGGGGTGAGGGGTCACACGGCCTCAGGTGGCCCACACCAGCACGACCCTCGGGGTCAGGGTTCCTGGCTCCCCCCAGGCTGCTCTCCCTCACCCTCCACACACAGCTCTCAGTTGGAAGGCCGTCCCCGCTCCGGCGGGCACACGGTGAAGGCTGACGCGGGAGCGGCTGATTTCAGGAGCCTCCGGGGGCCCGTGCCGTCTGGCGGGGATGTGGAGGCAGGCGCTCGGGAGTGAGGCGCCCTCCCAGCGCCAGGCCCCTGAGCCCCCTCCGCTGCTCCTCGTCTGCCGCCCTCCAGCTGGGGAGGGGCCTCCACACACCTGGTGCACAGACCCTCTGTCAGTTCCCGCCGGCGCCTGACGTGTCCTGTCCTTGCTTCCCAGCTGGGCCCAGAAGCATGAGAGCTGGAAGTTCCAGAAGACGAGGCAGACCTGGCTGCTACTGCACATGTATGACAACGGCCAGGTATGTGCACCGGTGGGGCAGGGGTGTACATGAGGCAGGGAGCAGGGGTGTGCACACCCGGTGGGCGTGGTTAGAGCAGGTGTGTGCACGCTGGGAGGCTGTTAGGGCAGGGGTGTGCACGCTGGGAGGGCGTTAGGGCAGGGGCAGGGGTGTGCACACTGGGGGGGTGTAGGGCAGGGGAGGGCAGGTGTGCGCACATGTCCGACAGCAATCGTGTGTGCACGCTGGGGGAGGGGAAGCATGTGCAGATGTAGGACGGCGACTGCCATGTGCGTGGTAAGTGAGCGGAGGGAGGTGTGGAGCGTGCGTCCCCGGTGGGGAGCGTGCGTCCCCGGTGGGGAGGAGAGCTGTGTGCACCTGGCGCGGTGGGGAGTGCGTCTGGGAGAAGCCAGTTATCAGACACAGGTGGGGCACGGGGGTGCCCTCCCAACGCACCTGGTGCAGGATGGTCCATGCCGACCTCCCTCGGTCACATGATTCAGGGGGCACCTGGGTTTGACATGCGGTAATCAGCCACGTCTGTGGACCTGCTTCGGGATTCCAGAAACGCCCCGATTGCCACCACACCGTTGGCAGCTCTCGTCCTGGCCAGTGGTCGCCCTGGTGCTTGCCACGTGGTGCTCCTTGGTCCACCCTCGTCTGCCTTGGTCGACTGGCTTTCCGCCCTTGGGCAGAGCCTGGCCGCCTGCCCCCTCCCCCGCCCCACCAGAGCCACATCCGCGTCTGCGAGGGTCTTCTCCCAGGCTGCGTAAGCCCCTGCTACCGCCATTTGTTCTGACAAGTATAGCTTTCGTCACAAGCGTGACAGCCCTGCTGCAGGGAGGTCCAGGGTGCCTGTGTGCCCGTGACCGGGGAAGGACACGCCTGAGAGCCCACAGCTTTCCAAACAGGCGCCAGGGCTGGGCCAGCCTGTACCGCTGCAGGAGTCACGGGCCGGCCTTGTGACCCACCGCAGAGCCCGCACTGGGGCGTGACACCCCACCCTTCCTTCCCCGTGACCCCCCTGTCCCGTGCCTATCCGTGGCCGCTCCCCACTCGCCATAGCTCAGGGCCCACACCCCCTCCCCCCAGCACATCACCAGACTTCTGTGCCCAGGAGCCCGGGCCCCGGCGGACACACTGTCCCTGGAACTCTCTGGAGCAGGTGTCACACACACAGAGCGAGCGGGCAGCTGTGGACAGAGACCTGTGTCCTGACCACCCTGCCCGCCCCCTTCCCCCCCCGGGGCCTCAAGGTGCTGGCAGGTGATGGTGGCCTGACAGCCAACTCCCAGCCTGTGTGGACTCGCTGTGCCCTGAGGAGGGGCCTAGGCGCCTCGGGAACCGAGGCCTTGCTTCCTGAGGCCCCTGGAGACCACCTGGTCACTGCCCGCCGGGAGGTGGGCTGGAGACGTGTCATAATTTTGACGAAGCCTGATTTTTGTCTTTTTTCTTTTGTCACTTGTGCGTCTGGTGTCGTAAGTAAGAAATCACGGTCTCCCCCAAGGTCATCAGAATTACCCCAGTGTTTCCTTGTGAGGGTTTTGTAGTTTCTGTTCTTACCTTTAGGCCTTTGAGCTCTTTGGGGTTAACTCTGTGTGTGTGTCACTTAGGTTTCTGTGAGTAGACTGTCCCCCAGCGGATGGACTTGGCACCTTCCCGGTGTCCTGTCATTTACTTAGCCATCTGCCCCGCTGGGACGTGAACCCGGAAGGACAAGGCTCGCCGGCTTTCACGGACCCCCACATCTCTGAGCTTAACGCCCCGGAGCTGCCTGGGCTCCCCTGGAAACCGGGGCACGTGCACCTGAACCCAGCTGGGGGGAGGGGTGGTGTCCGGGGCCTTTCCGGGTGGGCGGATGGACCGATGGATTCATTGGTCTCTGGTGAGCCCCCTGAGGTCAGGGTCAGGGTTCACTTGGGGTCCAGCACAGGCAGTGGGATAGAAGAAAGCCCTGGACCGCAGCGGATGACTGTGGCCGAGGCGCCCGGGGGTGGGGGGGTAGAAGGGGAGGCGCGGAGGCGGGGAAGGGGGAAGGGCCCTGGGAACGGTGTGCCCGGCCCTTGGTTCCGCAGACGCTCCCGGGCCTGCGTGACTCAGCAGGCTGGTGGCAGGAACAGGAGGGGACCCCGGGGCCAAAGCTGGGGGTCCTGGTTGCTCCGGCCCCCAGACGCTAGACGGTGCTGCCTCCTGGCCCCACACCGAGCCCCGCTTCCCTTTGTGGGCGTCCTGCCGTCCCGCCCACGTGCCCCACCGGCTGTGTGTGGCCCCGGAGCAGAGGGCCGGACCCTCCTTGGCTGGACCGTGGCAGCAGTGGCGCCCCGGTGCTGCCCGCGGGAACAGCAGAGGCCGTGACGTGAGACGAACCTGTTCTGTGGTCCCACGCGTGCCCTGTCTTCCTGGTGCGCCTACTTGAAGAACCCCCACCCCCACCCCCACCCCAGCCTCACTTCGAGCCCCTGAGGCGCACGGGCCTGACCTCATGGCCGCCACGTGTCTGCGTGTGTGCGTGGGTGTGCATGAGCACTTCCTGTCGGGAGCAGGATATGCGATTCGGTTTCACGGATGAGACAGAAGCCACATCCGACCCCCGTGGGGGTGGACTGACAAGGGAGGGGAATGGAAAGCCCGGAAGGGAACGAGTACGCTCAGGGTCCACAGAGGCGGAGGGAGCCACGACCATTCGACGGGGAAAGAATGGCCTCCTCCGCAAGCGGAGTTTTGCCAGCTGGATTTGCACGTGTCAAGGAAGGAAGGTGACCCCATCTGACCTCTGTCAGCAGCCCTCAAAGCGGATTGAGGCCCCGGATGTCGGGGCTGAAACTAGAGCTCCCAGAAGCGAATGTGGGGGCACCTGTTGTGGCCTCAGGTCGGGCACAGGCGCCGACTGCCCCAGCACAGCGACCACAGACTCAGACTGGCGGGTGGGGAGATGGCCACCCACCCACCCACAGGAGGGAGGAGGTGGGCGCAGACCCCGATCTCACGACTGTGGGAGCTTTTCTAGGTCGACAGAAGGGCAGCCCAGCTCTAAAACGGACAAAGGGTGTGTGTCGACCTCTGTCCAGAGCAGACGATGCAGGTGTCCTTTGAGCGAGTGCCGAGGAGCTCAGTGTCACGGGCGCTGGGGAGGGGCCGGTCAGAGCAGCATGGCCCTGTGACCAAAGACAGGCTGTGACCCGTGTCGCTGAAGACACAGCCGTTCTCGGCGGTGTTCTTCTCTTGTGTTCTCAGTGGATCGTGTTTCCTTACTTCTCGAGGACGTCAGCAACACCACTTTGAAGTTCCCTTCTCTCCGCACGACATTTGTCTTGTTCAGGTCGCTTTTGGTTTGTTTGCTCGGCCTCTGACTTTGAGATCAGACACTTTGTTCTGACGTGATGCCCTGTGGGGTCAGGAAGGGCCTGGAAACCTGGCCAGGGCTGCGTGCACCCCAGGGGCCCGTGTCCTGAGCTGAGACCCAGATCCTGAGCTGATGGGCTGGGCTCAGGATCTGGGTTTTCTCTCCTCTGTCCTCAATTTCACGGTAGAATCTTCTAGTCTTGCTGCAGGACACAGGCTTGGCCGCCAACACCGGGGAAGCCTGTGCAGGGAGGTGGGGGGGGGGACAACAAGGGGTGGGAGAGGGTCCGCATGCGAGGGGAGTGATGTGGGGGCCCCCTTCCCCATCGAATGGTCTGGGCGCCCTTGTCGAGAGCCAGCTGACCATGGATGGAGGGGTTCCTGCCTGGGCCTGGCTCTGTCCCCTTGCCCTGTGTGCCTGTCTCTGCCTCCGCCTCCACTGCTGAAGCTTTGGAGTTGAGGCCTGTGAGTCACTACCTGCTTTCTGAGCGGACCCGGCCGCCCCTTCACTCTCCCCTCGGGACGGGACCAGCCGAGCCTGGGGTCGGGGAGCCAGAACTCGGTTTTATCGGCGGGGGCTCCACCCTCAGATCCCCAGGGTGTGTGTGTGTGTGTGTGTGTGTCTCAGAAGATTTCTCTCCTCACAAACACGCCTGTTAACTGTCGACTGGCTGGCCTTTCGGGAGGGGGTGACATCCAATGGCTGCAGGACCCCGAGCCCTCGAAAAAGACCAGGAGACTGGCCTGCCCTCCCCGCCTCCCCCAGCCCCGTGGTCCCACAGCAGCGGCACGGGGTGGGAACAGGGGTGCGGCACACGGGGCCCCGCACCGTCGGCGTGCCCGGGGCCGAGATGACGCCGAGCTCTGCTGCCTGGAGGAGGAGGCGGTGAGCCGCCTGACGCCCGGGCCCGCTCAGTGTCCGCACTCGTCACCTCACCCCGCCCGGCCCCTGACGCTCTGGTCCTCTTCCCCCACCAGGTTCCCGACGAGCTCTTCTCCACCCTGCTGGCCTACCTGGAGGGGCTGAGGGGCCGGGCCCGAGAGCTGACAGTGCAGAAGGCCGAGGCCCTGATGCAGAAGTCAGACGAGGCCAGGGGCGCGGACACCCTCCCGCTGGGGATGATCCAGCGCGTCCGGCAGGTGCTACAGCTGCTGTCCTAGGGCTGCCGGCGGGCCGGGTCACTGCCGCAGCCCCAGGCGGTCCCGGGCCTCTCGGTGAGGGCGACCGCGTCCTCCCGGCAGTGGGGCCCCAGCGAGGGGCAAGCGGGGTCAGCAGCAGGGCAGCGGCCAGTGGGCCCGGGGACTTCCGGGGGCCGGGCCCCTGGCCCTCGGGAGGACTGACTCCACGATGACAGGTTTTCATGCCTTCACAACCAAACGGGAGCACTAGGGGGGTAACCTAGAGACACTGGCCTGGTCACTCCGTGGCCTCAGAGCCCACAGGGAAGCCGAGAGAAAGGCCTGTTTTCTACTGGAATGACTCAGAAATCCACCAGAGCCAGCCCTTCCCGCCAGCAGTGGTCCGTCCCTGTTGGGGGCTGAGGGCGGTCCCTCCGGTGGCGTCCAGGGCTGCCTGGTCACCTGCCTGCGTTCACCGACCTTTTCCACTCCTGTTTGCAGTAAAACCATCCTGTGTCGGCCGTGGCTCTCGTTCTGTGTGTTTTGTTCTCATTTGTGCGTTGATCGACCACGAACGTGCGTCAGGCTGTGGACGTAGCCCCCCCAGGACGGCGTCCTGGTGAGACTCCCCGTGTGGCGTTTCTGCCTGCGGGCGCCCAGCACTTGCTCTGCAGGCCGCTGTCTGCACGGACCCGGGACAGGCTCGTTCTATGCCGAGAGGAGCTCTGGGTGCGTTGAACTCCCCAGAAGTCATGGGGCTCCCAGTGCCCCGGAGGCTGCGCTCAGGGCACCGCGGCCCACACCTCCTCAGCGAGTGGGGGAAGTCGGTGGGCGGCCGGTGCCGGGACCACCTTCAGGAGGCCTGCACTTCCCGGCACCTGTACGTGGAGAATCACAGGGTGGTGGAGATGTGGTGGTTTTAAAACTCATCCACCCAGGCTTTGGTGCTCTGCCTGCGGGGACGCGCGTCAGCCTCCAGCATGGGATGAGGCACGGGTGGAGCCGTGCGGCTCTGAGGCCAGGACAGGAGGTGGAGGCAGGCGGCGCCCTCTGGACGTGTGCCCTTGGGACTTGGCGGCCTTCACGTGGGAAGCCCCTGCCAGATGGGGAGGCTGCGTGGGGATCCACCAGGGTGATGGCAGGCCCTCCAGCGGCTTCCACCCCAGGTGACACCGTGCGAAGCAGAGGTGAGCTGTCACCACCGAGTCCTCACCTTGCGGGTTCATAAACCCTGTTGCTGGGGCGCGTGCAGTAGACAACCAGGACAGCACGAAGGTGTGTAAGGTGAACTGGTTGTGTCCTGTCACGGTGCCGACAGTGAGTCACGGGCTCCTGGCCTGTGCGTAGACCCCTTATTCCAGAAGAAGGCCTGGGGCCTCGCTGTGGCCGCACCTGGCCAGGCCTTTCCAGCCACGTTCCCCCGAGGCGTCCCCTCCCAGCAGTGTCCCCAGCCTCGGTTTCTGCTTTCACTTGAGCTTCGGGTACCGTGAACCACCCGTGCCGAGGGACGCTTCTCCTCGATGGGGTCAGGCCTCAAGGTTAGGGTTCCCCAGGCCAGGAGGGGCCCAGGCGTCCAGAGGGCCCTGGGCTGGTCCTTGGGACCTCCCCTCTCTCACCTGCAACCCACACCCCTGGGTTCTGAGGGTCACGCGGCCCCACCTCCCACCCAACACCCAGGCCTCCCCCGCACCCCCCCCAGGGGCAGGGGTGATACTCCGCCACTCCCCGGGGGCATCTGGCTCCACCCCTCCCACTGGTGCAGCTGAAACCCCGCCACTTGCACACACACACCCACTTCCAGGCCAGAGCACCTGGCAGCCCCCTCTTTGGCTTTCAGAGACAGAGGGGAGGTCCCGACCCTCCAGGCATCAGTGACATCCCGAACAGGAGGCACTTTGGAACCCCGAGTTGGCGCAGGCCTGTGAGTGCATCACCAATCCGATGTGTTGGCATCACGGCTCCACAGATAATCTGGGGGCGTCAAGCAATCGGGGTGCCAGCCTCACAGTGCCTAAGCTTTGAGGAGGCACCCAAAAAACACATTAAGGGGCGCCTGGGGGGCTCAGTCCGTTGAGCATCTGACCGGCTCAGGTCATGAGCTTGCAGTTTGTGGGTTCGAGCCCCACGTCAGGCTCTGTGCTGACAGCTCAGAGCCTGGAGCCTGCTTGGGATTCTGTGTCTCCCCCTCTCTCCCCCTCCCCTGCTTGTGCCCTGTCTCTGTCTCTCAAAAGTAAACATTAAAAAATACGTTGAAAAGTAGACACACAAAGGAAGATCCATAAGCTAGAAAAGGCTTTTTTTTTTTTTTTTTTTTTAAGGAATCAGGGTTGATTGATCAAGAACCATAGGTCTGGGTTTCCTGGCAGCCAAGTTGAAAAGGGGAATGTGATGGGTCCCAAGTCCTCATCATCTGTTAATGGAAACAGTCGGGAGACCAGGGCGCTCCCTTCACTTGAGCACAAACGCTCCCTGATACCAGATGGGAGAGGGCTCTTTCCTCCCTAAGGGCTCCTTCCAGGGCATAAAGTGCTGTCTACTGCAAGGTTCCCCCTGGCAGAGCGAGGAGACACAGACATGTCACCTGGGCGCACCAGGACCAACGTCACTTGCCAGGGGTGTCTGTCAGAGACGGCATGGATGAGGCCCCCGGGGCAGTGACGTGGGAGAGTCTGAGCCCCGGGGCCAGGCCACGGCGTGGGGTGGGGGCCGTGTGTGCTGAAGGACGGTCTGTGACCCCCTGACTCACCAAGGTCTATGTGGGGCCACTGGGCCAGGAAGCTTGACCGTGGCCGCTGTTTGCCTGTCGGCACCCCCGAGCCAAAAACAACCCAGACGTCCAGCAGCAGGTGACCGGGACACCAAGGCAAACAGCACTCGGCAGTACAAGGACAGAAACGCTGACACAGGCCACAGCGTTGCACTGGGCAGGGGACCTCGGACCACAAGGGGGACCTCAGACCGCTGTTCCACTGACACGAGATTCTGGGAACGGTGAGCTCGCTCACCTGCGGTGACGGAGCGCCCAGGGGCAGGGGCGCCTTCGGGGACTGCGGCCACACAGCGTGTGCAGGTGTCAGACCCGTTCCGGGGAGCAGAGACAGAGCCTCGCGGGGCAGAGCTCACGGCAAAGCACTTTGGAAGAAAAATGGTAAAGAAGTTCATTGTCACCTTAATGTCTATTCTCACCAAAGTTCCCCGCGTCCCTCCTGGAGACCGTCTCGAGCGCTCCATCGAGAATGGGTGAGGGAGCGACCAGACGTCCCGGCCGTCACTGCCGACGCCATCACCCTGCCCCACCCTCCAAGGAAGCACCCTTCCTGGGACTCGTGTCCAAGAAACGTTCAGGCAGGTGTTTCTGTTGACCTCCTGCAGTGACCAATGGCCCCCCACCAAGCTTCCCCTTCCGGTGCCCCCCGGAGAGCGACCTTGTTTAGTGAAATCGGTGCTTATCCAGTAGGAATGTCCCTGACAGGTGCTTCGGGACATCAGGTGGCCACGAGCCGGGACCCCTGCCCTGAGAACGGACCTTCAGCCTCTCGTGTGTCTGCCCTGAGGGTGGGTGTCCCAGCGGCCCTGGGAGCTTGCTTCTGGTTTGGGGGCCAGTGGTGTGACGGGACCAAGAGCCACCCGCCGGCCCCCAGGGGCTCCTTCCCTGACAACCAAGAGGAGGGGCGCTGTGGCCATGGGAACCCACGTTCAGGGGCCCAGCTGCCCCCTCCTCACCCTCAACGTCTGGGACCCTTGATGGACGTCTGCAAAGGCTCCTCCCGAAGCCCATGCAGGCTGGGGGCTGAGCTCACTGGAGATGCAGCCAGCAAGAAATGGGACCCCAAACTTGGAAGTGTCCACCATGGATGAATGGACAACACAACACGCGCCATCCACCCACGAGACACTATTCGGCCTTAAAAGGGAAGTAAGTTCTGGCACCTGCTCCAACATGGGCGGACCCTGCAGACACCATGGTGAGTGACACAAGGCAGACACGGGAGGACGCGCACCGGGACCCACCCCCACGAGGCCCCGGGGTCGTCAGACTCACGGACACGGGAGGACGCGCACCGGGACCCACTCCCACGAGGCCCCGGGGTCGTCACGCTCACGGACACGGGAGGACGCGCACCGGGACCCACTCCCACGAGGCC